CTCCCACTTTGCGATCTTTTGGAATCCCTGGAATCTGATAGAAATCATCAAGTTCTACAATATTCGAAATGCAAGACTTTGTTTCCTTCCATGGAATCCTTGGAATAGTTTCTAATCCGTCAAAAGGTCTATGGAGTCCACAGTGGTTTTCAGGAGTCCCATGGTTGCATGGGCTCCCACTTTGCGATCTTTTGGAATCCTTGGAATCTGATAGAATTCATCATCAGCTACAATATTCGAAATGCAAGACTTTGTTTCCTTTCATGGAATCCTTGGAATAGTTTGTAATGCGTCAAAAAGGTGTATGCAGTCCATAGGGGTTTTCAGGAGGCCCATACTTGCATGGGTTCCCACTTTACAATCTTTTGGAATCCTTGGAATCTGATAGAATTCATCACCATCTGCAATACTCGAAATGCCACACTTTGTTTCCTTTCATGGAATTTATTGGAATAGTTTGTAAAGCGTGAAAAGGTCTATGGAGTCCATAGGGGTTTTCAGGAGGCCCATGGTTGCATGGGTTCCCACTTTGCGATCTTTTGGAATTCTTGGAATCTGATAGAATTGATCATCATCAGCAATATTCGAAATGCAAGACTTTGTTTCCTTTCATGGAATCCTTGGAATAGTTTCCAATGCGTCAAAAGGTCTATGGAGTCCATAGGGGTTTTCAGCAAGGCCCAGAGTTGCATGGGTTCCCACTTTACGATCTTTTGGAATCCTTGGAATCTGATAGAATTCATCATCAGCTACAATATTCGAAATGCATGACTTTGTTTCCTTTCATGGAATCCTTGGAGTCAGCGGTGAAAATCCAAGGTTTCCGTTTTGTGGAAAGTCAGCCAGGTCTCTGTTGTGTGTTGTTGTTTCTCTTTTTATGTGTGCTTATGGTTTCCTGCTATACGATGGGTGTTTTTGTAACTAATTAAGGTTTGTGCGGTTTATTATTTGTAGTATAGTTAGTTTATATAGTGTTAATTAATTTTTATTGTTTTCAATTAATTAATTAGTTAATTGGGTGAGTCATTTCATGAAAGTTTTTTTTCGAATGTTATTTTCTGTGTTTCAGAGTTCACTTTGGATTGGATTGTATTTCGAATTTTTGGACTCGATCATTTCCCGAATCGACGACATAGAGATTGCCGTGTCGATCGAATGACAAACCGAAGGGCCAATTGAGTTGATTCGATTGTTCTCCTCTACCGTTTCCACCAACAATGACACTTCCTTGTGTGGCTCCTTTAGGCCAACGCATGATTCGATCATTTCCTCGATCAGCCACATAGACAGTGCCCAATTGATCGACAACGACTCCTCGAGGAGATGACAATTGTGTAAGATCATTTCCTTCTTCTTGACCACCAGCCACGACAATGCCTTGTTTTGCACCTTCCATCCATTTCATCACACGATGATTTTCCTCATCAGATACGTACACTGAATGATCTCGATCGACGAATACGTATTGTGGGTGAGATAGTTGATCGAGACGATTTCCATATCCATTGCCACCTGCAACCACTGTTCCTTCAGATTCTCCTCTTCGATATCGTCTCACTTCATTTTTTATATTATCAGTGACATAGAGAGATCCATTCTCGTCCATTGTCAAACCCACACAATAGATGTTGGAGATGATTGTTTCTCCACTTGTCCCATTTCGACGAGGCCATCGAACCACTCTTCTATTCGAAGTATCGCATATGATGAGACTATCTCTCTCTTTGTCGATAATCACATCATATGGGTAATTCAATTGATGATCTCCACTTCCTTGTCCATTTCCACCGGCAACCACTTGGCCACTTGTTGCACCTCGTTTCCATTTCACAATACCTTGATTCGACCATTCAGCACCATAGATTGTTTGATCATCATCAA